TGGAATATATAGGTTCTCTTTTCACTTTGAGCCTATGTGTATCCTTAAAGCTGCAGTCAGTCAGTCTCTTGTAGGCAGCATATAGTTGGGTCTTGCTTTTTGTATCCAACCAGCTACTCTGTGTCTTTTGACTGGTGAATTCAATGCATTTGCATTTAGAATAATTATTGCTATGTAAGGACTTACTAGTGCTATATTATTGATTGCTCCCTGGTTGTTCTGTACTTCCATTTTTTCCGTTCCCCTCTGTTTCTACTTACCTTTGTAAATTGGTGTTTTTCCATGTGGTATGCTCTGTTCCTTTCCTTTTTAATTTTTTGTGAATCTACCCTAGATTTTTGCTTTGTTGTTACCACAAGGCTTACATAAAATATTATAGATATAACAGTTTATTTTATGCTGATAACAAGTAACTTTAATTGCATATAAAAACTCTACACTTTTGCTCTTCCTTTTTATGTTTTTGATGTCACAGTGTGTTTCTTTTTAACTGTGTATTCATTAACAAATTTTGTAGCTATAATTATTTTTATCATTCTCATTCTTTAACTTTTATACTAGAGCTATGTGGTTAACACCACTCATATTACAGTATTTGAGTATTCTGAATTTGACTACATACTTACCTCTTTTAGCGTATTGTATATTTTCATATGTGTTCATGTCAGTAATTAGTGTTCTTTCATTTTGGCTTGAAGAACTCCTTTCAGCATTTCTTATAAGGCAGGTCTACTGGTGATGAATTACTTCAGCTTTTGTTTGTCTAGGAAAATCTTTATCTCTCCTTCATTGCTGTAGGGTAATTTGCCAGATAGAGTATTCTTGGTTGGCATTTTTTTTTTCTTTTAGCACTTTGAATATATCATTACACACATTCCTGGCCTGCCAGGTTTCTGCTAAGAAATCTGTTGGTAACTTTCAGGGTTTGGTTCCCTTGTAAGTTATAAGCTCTTTTCTCTTACTACTTTCAAGATTTTCTCATTGTCTTTGAGTTTTGACAGTTTTATTACCATGTGTCTTGGAAATTATCTCTTTAAGTTGATTTTGTTTGGTGACATATGAGCTTCATGAACTTGGATATCCAAATCTCCTCTCAGATTTGAGCAGTTTTCAGTCACCATTTCTTTAAATATGCTTTCTGCCCTCCTTCCCCTCTCTTCTTTTTCTGGAACTCCAATAATTTGTGAATTGGTGCTTTTGATGATATCCTAGTTCACACAGGTTTAAGTTTTTGTCACTCTTTTTCCTTTGTTGTGCTCTGACAGGATCAACTCAAAGTTCCTGTCTTCTATCTCACAGATTCTTTCCTCTGCTTGATCCATTCTGTTGTTGATCACTGTTGCATTTTTCATTTTTTTGTATTCCTCAGCTCCAGAGGCTCTTTTTCTGTGATTTCTATCTCTATTAAACTTCTCATTTTGTTCATGTATTGTTTTTCTGATTTTATTGAATTATCTTTCTGTGTTTTCTTGTACTCATTGAGTTCCCTTAAAACAGCCATGTTGAATTCTTTTTCAGGTAAATTGCAAATTTCCATGTCTTTGTGGTTGGTTACTAGAGAATTAATTGTGATCCTTTGGTGGTATTATTTCCTTTATTTTTCATGTTCCTTAAATTTTGCATTGCTGTCTTTGTGTTTGAGGTAATAGTTACCTCTGCCAGTCTTTATTATCTTTGGTAGAGAAATACCTTCCCTCAGCCCCACTGGTGATTCTGAGGCTCCCTCAGACCGTCTATGGGTAAACCTGCTCTACACTTCTTTCTCCCTTTTGTGGCTGAATTCTTGAGCTTGTATGCCTTCTCTCAATCCTGCAGTGCACCAGGCCGAGAGCCTCCCTTTCATTTTCCCAAAGGTGATGCGAAAGCTCATGTTTGTGATCTCCCCCTGGCCAATAGTTTGGGCTGGCTTTCTTCATGTACTCACTAGCCAGCTGCCAAAGCTTGTTCTCACTGCTGCCATCAGGAGCATGCACAGGGAGCCAGCCACAGCATAGGGGGCATATGTGGCTGAGGCATGCTGAGAGCTGGGGGTGCCCCTAGGCCAGTTGGGGGAATCCATGAGCCAGATGTTCCCAGTAGCCATGCTGAGCTCTCAGTGGTGGGCTTCTTGATGGAATCTGTGATGCAGTTAGTCTGCTTCCCTTTAATGCCTTGCAAGAGTCTTTTCTGCTCCTCTCTCCACTTCTTTCTGCCTCCTGCTTCCAGCCATGCAGATCATGATTCAGTACTCTGGATGGGGTGGGAGAGAAATGAGCCTCTTTGGCAACATCCTACACAGTTGGGGAAGCTGGATGCTTTTACTTTCCCCTGCAGGAGAAATGATAGGCTGAGAAGATCTCTCTTGGTCCTAAACTATGCTGCCTTGGGGGAGGGGTGATGTGGATAAAGTCAAGCTGCTCCTCTTACCTTATCCAGTGCACCCAAACTCATATATATATATATATATATATAATTTTTTTTTTTTTTACTCCAACTGTGTGCTGGAACTTCTTTTCTGGAAATCTGGACTTCCACAAGGGCTCTCTTGTCTGTGGGTGACTAAGAGTGCTTTCTAGGGGCTCCTAGACAGTGTCCAAGAGGGGTTGGGGTTGGTACACACCCACTGCAGGTTCCACACCTGGACTGAGGTCTGTGTGCCTGTTCTCTGATTCATGGTGGGGAAAACTCCTCCTGTGTTCCTTGGCATATGGTGCTGGTTCCCACAGCTCCCACAAAGCCACTTTTGTTCATGGATACAAACCAAATTCCTGGTTTTTGTTAGGGGACAAAAACAAAGGACATCTTATTCCACCATGTATTGACATCACCAGCCTATAGTTAAACATTGAATGTATCATCATCGTCACACGTTTTCTTTGCTTTCTCTCCTTTCTACAAATAGAACTGAATTGAGTTCCAGGAAAGATAATGTATTTATGTATTCAAAGAAACTGAGAAATTACTATAATAGAGCTCGGTGATATTTATCCTTTAGATACTGCTTTTAAAATTCATGAAAATCCCATTTCTTCTAGAAGTTGTACAAATAACTTCCATCTTTCCATTCCCTGGGAGTGAATTTAATGTTGATCACACAGTTTTGAGTATTAGTTACTTTATTTAACTTCTTCTTTACTTAATATTTAAACTCTTTGATAGTTTCAGAAAGAAGAGAGAATTGACCTAGATATTGCTTACTTAGTCCCAGGAAGGAAGCTTGATAGATTGGGAAAAACAGCAATTTTACTCAGATAGACCCAAATTTGCCTCCTAGCCTCACCACTGACCAGTGGAGTGTTCCTTGACAACTTGCTTTTCTTTTCTATGACTTAGGTTTTTATATTCTTAAATTGGGAATAGTCATACCCACCTTACAGCATTGTGGTGAGACTAAATGATAATATCAGCCAATTCTTATGTTGCCTCACATAGTAGTCCCTCAACAAATAGTAGTTCTCTATTATTTTAAAGAGTCTTAATAAACAAAAGTCTTCCTTTTTACAACAGAAAATGTAACTGAGATCCAACCTAATTTTTCTCCTTTTCTGTTTATGACAAAAGATTGCTTTAAGAGAGGTGGTTTAGCTGGTTTTGGATTCTAGGCTGGGAGTTATTTCACTCTAACTCCTTGTAGATATTCCAATCTGATATCTCTGTTGGCTGATGAAACCTCTTCTGTAAGTGTACTTCACAGGTGATCTGTCTTTTCTTTCTGTTTTTGCTCTTTGTTTTTGAAACTGTTTTGCCATGATGTCTCCACACGTGTAGATTTGTTTTCTCAGTCTATCTTCCATTTCACGAATTCTCCCTTCATCTTTTCTGTGACAACCCATTCTTTTTTATCATTGAGTTTTTATTTTTCTCACAGTTATATGCAGTTTTTAAAAAGGAAGAAATTCTGTAAGTCTTGTTATGAAAACTGACTTCTATCTCACTTTCCAGAAACAGCTTTTAACTCTTAGCAGATTCTTTCATTTGCCTCCATATCTCCAAATAGGCTCTGATTCCTCCTTTGTTAGGTTAGACATTATGTATTGACTCTTCCCTATGGAAGATAAGGATGTAGCTCTTTTTTGTCCTCAGCCCCTCCTGCCATTTTCCATCCCTTCATTCTTTTAATGTAGTTATATTCTATTTTCCTTAGCTAGATGTTTGTTTATATCATTATAACTGTGTAAATACAATCACGGTTGAACATACAGTATACCAGTGATCCTCAGCGTGGTCCCCAAGACTCATGGAATCTGCAAGGTCAAAATGCATTTTTATCATAATACTAACATATTTGTCCTTTTTACTGTGTTGACATTTGACTAGTGGTGCAGAGACAACAGAAAGACTGGGACACCTTAGCACAAATCAAGGCAATGGCATCAAACTGGATTAGTAGCTGTTGTATTCTTCTGTGAGTTAAATGCACTCACAGTTAAAAAATTTTTTTAGTGGCTTTGGGCAAGGTTTTTTATCTTAATTTCTTGGCTTGAAATTTCCATGTCACTTAAATTGTATGAATTGAGATGTCACACTCATAGATGCTGGACTTCTGATTTCTGTGCTTTTGATTTCTTGAGACTGATCATTTTTTCCACTTAAAATACTGGGCTAGTGTCATTGCTCTTTCCCTATCCTGATGGAGTTTTTCTAGTCCCATTTCCATGAATAGAGCAACTTTCCACTATGAAATTTATTCAGAAAGCTCAGCTTCATTTCCTTCATATTGTATAGGCTCCAGGCCATGTCTCCTTCCCTGGGTAGAAACTAAAGCACTGAGGAAAGTGTTGCCTTCATCAACATATATGTGAATGGTTAGAATGGGGGCAGAATATAAATTTGTTGATTTTAAAACTCTCATTTTCATGACCACTTATGCTTTCCTAGTAGTATATAAAAGTATTGTCTATGCTTGTTGTAGTGTGAAATAGGTTATGGTTTTCAGTTCGTTAATGGGATTAGCATATAAAATCACTTTTGAACACCACCCTTTCAGGAAGTGCTATTTACTGTACTGGATGCGTCAACAGGAATCCTAAATGGGATTAAGAATATGCTGTCAAGTGTATTCCTACCAGCTATTCTTGCAACAAATAATTGGGGTGCTCTAAACCAGTCCAAGCAAGGAGAATCTGAAAAACACATTTTCACGGAAACCATCAACAGATACCTTTCATTTTTAGATGGTAAGTATAAAATTTAATGCTTAATAAATTACTAAAAATGAGCAAATTAACTATATGTTATTTTTTAAAGATTTTATTTATTTATTTGAGAGAGAGAGAGAGAGCACATGCAAGCCCACAAGCAGGGGGAGGGGCAGAGGGAGAAGCAGACTCCCCGCTGAGCAAGGAGCCAGATGTGGGGCTCTATCCCAAGGCCGTGGGATCATGACCTGAGCTGAAGGCAGATGCTTAACCAACTGAGCCACCCAGGTGTCCCTATAAGATATGTTATTAAAGATAAGCATTAGAGGAAAAAACATTCCATCTTAAAAGAAAGTGCTAATCAAAGTAATTATGAGTTGTAGAGGTAAGAAATCAAATCATTAGATCCTCTCATTTCCAGGGATCTTTGCAGGAGTACGATATGTTTTTTTTCTTCCATTATAGCAGGAAGATTCTTTTCCTATATTATTAATGAAAAATTTCACCACATTTTAAAATATAACTTTATTATTAGCTCTTTTAAAATTATATAATTTTATATTATTAAAATAATATTATTAAAAATTATCAAGTCACAATCTAATGATCAATTTATATTATATTTCTATAAAGTATTCGATCTTTAACATTTGAGTAATTATAGCTTGAAAACACACCTTGACATTAAACACCTCTTCTCAATATTGTTTCTTCCCTTGTAGGTGCTAGAGTAAGTATCGAGGGAACAGTTATGTTAAAGAAGGTAGACAATATCGATTTTTCCAAACTGCATACGTTTGAAGAAGTGACAGCTGCAGCTAGCAATTCAGAAACTGTTCGTCAGCTAGAGGAGGTGCTGATGACATGGTATAAACAGATTGAACAGGTGAGCTAACTCAAGTAATTACATCAGAGATGAGTCATAGTTCTCATCTGTGTCCTAGCCATTGCATTTTGTCCCTAAAAGTAAGGGGAAGAGGAGTCTTCCAGATTCTGTTATGAAACTTAGCCTATTCTTGACTCTAGTGCAAAATTGTTGTTCTCTGTGGGCACTGAAAATCACTTTTAATTATTTCTCACTTTGGAGGAGGGAACCATAACAATATGGGTTGAGAATGGAAAAATGAAGAATTAGGAGTAGCTAGCATTCATCTCCAATATTTTATATATTGTTTATACTCTTCATGAGAGAAAGGAAGAGGGTACAGTGAAGTGACTATAGTCACGGTGCTAGACACTAAATAAATAGCTCTTGGTTGATCAGTGGAATTGTCTGTGTTGACCAAGAGGTTCAAACTAGGCTTATCATGTCAGTACGGCATTGGTCAAATTTTTCTCTGGCAGTAGGAAAAGCTGCAATAGGATTGGGGTATATGTCAACATTCTGAGAGGTGCCAACTTACACTGTACATACTGCCCCAAATCAGGTACTATGTAATTGCTCTAAACTGAAAGGGGACACTAAGAGCCAACTCACAAATCTCTAGTTCATGAGCACAGGACAGTGGAACTAGAGAAGAAAATCTTCAGTTCAATGAAGACTAAGGTAAAAAAATCTTGACCAAGCACGAGTTAGGACATTTTCAATTTTACCTCTCTTAGAACTATGTTAGAAGGAAGGAGGTGCAGTTGGAATGGAAAAATTGGAGGACTTTGGAAACTCCAGTGGGGCCTGGAGTGCTGGCCACAGAATTTGTTCCAGGTGTCACTAGGAAATTGAAGTGGGTAATTGAGCACCACAGGACTTCTGTACTCACCTACTATGTCACTGGAGGAAGGGGGAGTTGTAACCCATTGCGGAAATCAGGCTCTGTCCTACACAATGGCTGAGGAGATCCTCTCCAACTATTATGATCAATCAATACAGATTTTCTTTCATTAAAATGAGCAAACAAAAGAAAAAACTTGAGATTTAGCAACTTGAAATAAGAAAATCAAGTTGGGCAATTGTAGCAGATGGCTCCAATTAAGCAGAATCAATGCAAGCAATAGGAAAGATCTTTAATCTAAAATAAAAATCTGGGGCGCCTGGGTGGCTCAGTTGGTTAAGCGACTGCCTTCGGCTCAGGTCATGATCCTGGAGTCCTGGGATCGAGTCCCATATCGGGCTTCCTGCTCGGCAGGGAGTCTGCTTCTCCCTCTGACCCTCTTCCCTCTCGTGCTCTCTCTCATTCTCTCTCTCTCAAATAAATAAATAAAATCTTTAAAAAAATAAAAATAAAAATAAAAATCTGAACTGTGATGTCTAAAATAAACTTTGACCAAAAAATAAATAAATTAAAAAAAATAAACCTAAATCTTGACCTTGACCTCTTGTCATTCACAAAATTAATCAAGATGGATTGTAGACATAAATATGAAAGCTAAAACTTAAAAAACAGATACATGCAACAACATGGATGAATCTGGAAGATGCTTTGAGTGAACAAATGCAACCTTAAATAAGTAAGGTGAAAAGTAAAATGAAACCTATAAATGAGCGAGAACACAACATAGGACTATATTAATATGTTCTTAAGATACAGAACCCAGAAGCCATGAAAGAAAAAAACTGACATTATTTGAGTATGTAAAAAAAATGTAGTAACTTCCATATGGCAAAAATTACCATGAGCAAAACTAAAAAAGGAGCACCTGGGTGGCTCAGTCAGTTAAGCGTCTGCCTTTGGCTCCTGTCATGATATCCAGGTCGTGGGATCGAGCCCCATGTCGGGCTCCCTGCTCAGTGGAGAGCCTACTTCTCCCTCTCCCCACCCCCAACTCGTGCTCTTTCTCACTCTCTCTCTCTCTCAAATAAATAAATAAAATCTTTAAAAAAAACCCTAAAAAATAAATGACCTTCTGGGAGAAAATATTATTAGCAAAAATAACAAAGAGTTAGTATCCATAATATATAAAGAACTTCTATAAATCATTAATAAATGGGCAATAGAGAGAAAAATAGGCCGAGGATATGAGCTGTGTCATTTAAGGAAAGTATATGAAGATATTTGACCTAGGGAAAAAAAAAAGGGGGACTTGGGAGTATCATGATATCTTCAAATATTTGATGGGATTTCATGTCAAGTTAAACTTGCACTGTATGGCCCTAAATGGCAGAAGTAAGACCAGAGTATGATGGTTATAAGGAGAGAGATTTTTAATTTTGAAATCAGGATAACTTTTTCACAAAATCCTCTCCACACAAAAAAATTGGAATGTGCTGCATTCCTGAAAGTATCCACTTGGAGGCTCATTACGATCTATGAATACTGTTGTAACAGAAATTAAACATCCAAAGGGTTGTTTGATTTAGTTAATTTTTAAGGTCCATTTTCATTCCTTAATTCAGTGATTCAAGCTATTTAGACTTCCAGTCATTTAAGAAAACTTGAAATTATGTCTAGTATCCCCTATTTAAGGAGATGGGAAGATTGTGAGACGATTAGGAAAGAGTTCCATATACCATGGTTAAAATTAAAAGCAAATAATTATTTCTTGGATTAAAGGAAGAACCTTTGTAGGTCTGAAAAATCAACTCTGTATTTTACCTCTTTGTATTCTTAAAACGTTCCATCACAATTTAAATTATGTCAAGTTATGGGATGCCTGGGTGGCTCAGTCAGTTAAGGGTCCAACTCTTGGTCTAAGCTTAGGTCTTGAACTCAGGTTTGTGAATTCAAGCCCCATGACTGGGCTCCATGCTGGGTGTGGAGCCTACTTAAAAATAAACAAGTAAATAAATAATGTAACATTATAAACATAAAAAGTACAGAAAATAATATAACAATGACTCCTGAAACAATGACTCTTGAGATTAAACAGATACTGTTTGCCACATTTGCTTCAGATCTGTTTTATTTTCACAGTAGCCTCCAACCCATCCCTTTTCCCACCCTCTATATTACCACTGTCCTGATGATATTGTCTTCTCTCATTCCCCTGAAAGTTTCACACTTTTATTGCATTTGCATATTTATAAGCTTTAAATTATATATAAAAATAAATTATATATACATTATACATAAATACAGAATATATATTTGTGATTAAAATCTTTACACAAATGGCATAACACCATTAAATATCATTTTGCCGGTTTTTTTTTTTTTCATTTAGCGTTCGCTCTTTCATCTACATTGGTACAGGTAAATTACTACTGTCTGGTATTCCTCTATAAAGAAATCAGTTTGCTATATAAATTTTCACACATTAAAGACACATTTAAATCATGTCTAATATTCTGTGTTTAAGGAGGTAAAGAGGTTTATTCATCCATTCCCTCAGAAAGGCAGTTGTTTCTTTTCTTTCTCCTTCTTCTTCTTCTTTTTTTTTTGGCTATTACAAACAATAATAATACATACTCAATGAATACCTGTATTCAGATCTCCTTTGCACATATCCCAGATTTCTCAGTGGAATTGCTGAGAGCAATAGTATATAGATCTTTATTGGATATTACAAAGCCCTCCAAGTAGTGGTTATATTAACTTATTTTATTTTTACAGAAGCATATGAGAGTTCCCATTTCTTCAAATCTTTTGTTACACTTGGGATTGTTAGATTTTTAATCTTTGCCAGGATGTTGGGTGTGAAATGATATCTTATTTTGCATTCCTCTGACTTATACTGAGGTTGAGCATGTTCAATGGCTATTTAGGTTTCTTCTTTGTTGAGTTGCTTGTTCACATCCTTTACTTAGTTTTAGTTCAGATTGCTCCATGATATCTTACTGAAATGTTGGAGTTTAAATAATATTTCCCAGATGTTAATCCTCTGTTGGTCCGCATTGTGTCCTACATCTTAATTTGGTATGGTGTCTTTAGTCATGTGGAAGTTTTACATTCTAATGTAAATTTATTAGTTACAAATTGTAATCCAGCTTCAACTTAGTTACCTCCAGTGGCTAGGAACTTTGTGCTTTTTGTATTTTATTTAAGAAACCCTTGTTTAGTATTATGAAGATATTCTCTTAAGTTATTTATTTATTTTAAATAGTGAAACCTACAGAAATGAATACAATAAAAGAAACAAATTATTGTAAAACAAACCTTCATGTAACTTTTTGCACAAGTTAAGAAGCAGCATTACTAGCACCTTACAATCTCCATGCAGCCCTCTTCCCAGTTTCAACTCCCTTTTCTTTCCCCTGGTGGTAACTATTTCCCTGACAATTATGATATTTAGTTGCATGCTTTTCCTTTATCTCCTATATTTTCTTTAAAAGCTTTGCCATGTTGTTTTTAACATTTAGGTTTTTAATTCATCTGGATTTATGTGTGTGTGTTTCTGTGTGTGTGTGTGTATGTAGGGTAGGAATCTAATTTTGTCTTTTTCCATATAGTTAGCCAATTGTCCCCAAAATAAGCTGTTTAGTTAATAGCCCATTGTTTACTTTAAAAAAATTTTTTTATTTAAAATAAATGAATTAATATTTAGTGTATTATTAATTTCAGAGGTAGAGTTCAGTGATTCATCAGTCTTATATAATACCCAGTGCTCATTACATCACATGCCCTCCTTAATGTCCATCACTCAGTTACCCTATCCTTATACCCCTCCCCTCCAGCTACCCTCAGTTTGTGTCCTGTGATTAAGAGTCTCTTGGGGTATCTAGGTGGCTCAATCAGTTAAGCGTCTGCCTTCAGCTCAGGTCATGATCCCAGGGTCCTGGGATTGAGCCCCACATCGGGTCCCTACTCACTGGGGAGCCTGCTTCTCCCTCTGCCTCTACCTCTCTCTCTCTGTCAAGTGAATAAATAAAATCTTTTTTTTTTTTAAAGAGTCTCTTATGCTTTGTCTACCTCTCTGATTTTGTCTTGTTTTATTTTCCCCACCCTTTCCCTATGATCCTATTTTGTTTCTTATATTCCATATGAGTGAGATCATATGATAATTGCCTTTCTCTGATTGATTTATTTTGCTTAGCATAATACCCTCGAGTTCCATCTACGTCATTGCAAGTGATAAGATTTCTTTTTTGATGGCTGCATAGTATTCCTCTGTGTGTGTGTGTGTGTGTGTGTGTGTGTGTGTGTGTACACACCTTCTTTATCCATTCATCTGTTCATGGGCATCTGGGCTCTTTCCAGAGTTTTAGCCCATTGTTTCCTAACACACTTTTAATATCACTTCTGTAATATATCAAATTTCAAATCCCACTGTCTATCCCACTGGTGTACTTATTTGGGTTTTGCACTCATGTAATACTGCTTTCATTTCTGTAGTTTTTTACTAAATCAATATTTGCCCTGGCAAGTCCCTTTCTGTATTTTTCTTCAAAATTGCATTGATTATTTCTGGTTAATTGTTCTTCCAAATTAATTTTAAGACTAGTTTGTCAAGTATCACAAAAAACCCTATTGAGATTTTGACTGGTTTTCATTGAATATATACATTACTTTAGAGAAAATTGTCATCTTTATATGGTTGATTTTTTCCATCCATGAACATGGCATCTCTCCATTTTTTTTAGGTTTTCTTTTGTATGCTGAAAGTAAGTTTTCTAATTTTATTCGCAAAGATACTGCACATCCTTTGCTAATCTCTAGATATATTATCATTGTTGTTATTTGTTATACCAAATGCTCTTTTTTTAGAAATTACATTTTCAGATTGCTAGGTGGCTTGTAGAGAAATGCTACTGATGTTTATGAATACATGCAGTAACCTTACTGAATTATCCACTTTTACTAAGTGTAAAAGTTTATCTTTAGATATTCTTGAATTTTAAAAATGTGACCAACCATATCATCTTTGATTATGCCATTTTTGTTTTTTCATTTTCAATTCTTATGCCTTTACTCTACTTATCTTGTTTGGAGACCTCCGTTACCAGGTTGAATAGAAGTGGGCAGTGTTAGTGGCAAACTTGTGTTGTCCTTGGTTTTAAAGTGATATTTTCTAAAATTTCATCCTTAGGTATGAGTTTGCTTTGGATTTTTGGTAGATACTATTTATCATGTTAAAGAAGTTCCCTTTTGTTCTGTTTTCTAAGAGTTTTTAATATTATTCAGTGTTGAAAGTTATTTATTTATAAGCTTCCTTTGAAAAGATGCAAATAATGAGGTTTTACCAAAGAAGAAAGTAACATTTCTATAGTCCCTGAGTTCTTTTGATTGCAGGTACTTATTGAGAGTGAGCAGATGAGAAAAGAAGCTGATGACTCAGGTCCACTCACCGAATTGGAACACTGGAAACGCATGTCAGCCAAATTCAATTACATCATTGAACAGATTAAAGGGCCAACTTGTAAGGCTGTCATAAATGTGCTTAATGTTGCACACTCCAAACTGTTGAAGGTAAAAGGCCTTTTATTTTAAAGTTTGTTATGTTTCTGAACAACCAACTGGAAAATTACCCTTCTTGAACTGCTTCTTCACATCATATACTGAAACCATATACTTAGAAGTGTTAAACTTTGAGTAAGGCTTTCTTATATTCCACTATTATTTCCCAAAAAAGAAAAGGAAGTATAGAAATAAAGATTTATTTCTCAATATTTTTAAAAAAGATTTTATTTATTTATTTGACAGAGAGAGAGACAGCGAGAGAGGAAACACAAGCAGGGGGAGTGGGAGAGGGAGAAGCAGGCTTCCCGCGGAGCAGGGAGCCCGATGTGGGGCTCCATCCCAGGACCCTGGGATCATGACCTGAGCTGAAGGCAGATGCTTAACTGACTGAGCCACCCAGGCGCCCCCATTTCTCAATATTTTCACACCAATTTTGGCAATACTCCTATGGGGTGATTGCCATTTACTTTTAATTTGTTTTTGAAAGTGTGAATCAATAGAGGCTCAGGGAGGTAAAGAACTACATAGAAAGTCAAAAGCAAAAATGTGCTGTCAGTATACATCTCCTGTCCACTATTACACAGCTTGGTTTGATTCTAGGTTGTTTTCTTTTGCTGTATTCTTCCTTAAAAAAGATCTATATCTATCTATCTGTATCTTTCTATCTGTATGTATATCCTATCCTCAAAGACCCAAAGTAATATAATGTCACAAATAAGTAAGCTAGAAAAGTGGCTCCAGGTAGAAGCAAGTCCAGTTTAAGCCTACAGACAGGATGTTAATTACAAACAGAATGAGCCTTCAGTTGTAGTAAGTCATTTAAAGTATTTATAATAACCTTAAGTCTTAAATTATATAAGAAAAAGATACGTCATTCACATTTTAGTATCAACTACTTTAGGGAAGCTAGCTTGAATTTCTTGATTAAAATTAAGTACGGTGATATATTTGGATGTTTCATGGTATTCTTATACATTTTTTCTTAGAATTGGCGTGATTTGGATGCAAGAATAACAGATACAGCAAATGAATCAAAGGATAATGTCAGATATTTGTACACTCTAGAAAAAGTATGTCAACCTTTATATAACTATGACCTAGTAAGTATGCTTTTTAAAGTGTAGTTTGAAAAATAACTCATTTTAAAGTAGCTTTATAATATACATGTATTGGGAAATATATACTGCAGACAAGTTATTTAAAAGATATACTTTCCTGTTATATAGCCATCATGAATTAAAAACTCACTTAAACCTGATATTGATATTATCATAAGTATAATCTCATTTGTGAGTTTAATTAATTAATGCATTGATGCATAACAAATTACCCCAGACTGACTGACTTAAAGAAATAAGCATTTACTACATCACAGTTCCTGTAGGTCAAGAATCCAGGCATAGCATAGCTTGAGTGCCTCTACCTCATGGTCTCTTATGAAGTTGCAGACAAAACTGTTAGCTGGGAATGTGGTCTCACTGTAGTGGAGGCTGACAGCTGGAGGGTCCACTTCTAAGCTCACTCACATGGTTGTTGGAAGGCCCTAGTTGCATAGCACATGAGCCTTTCAATAGGGTAACTTGCTTCCCTTAGGGTGAATGATCCAGAAGTGAGCAAGAGAGAGTGCCCAACCAGCATTATCCTGATATCAAAGCACTACAAGAAAAGAAAATTACAGGTCAACATCCTTGATGAATGTAGATGCAAAAATTTTCAACAAATACAAGCAAACCAAATTCAACAGCACATTGAAAGGATCATACACCTGACCAAATGGGAATTATTCCTGGGATGCAAAGATGATTCAACATATGCAAATAAATACATGTGATACACAGAATTAATAAAATAAAAGAAAAATTATATGATCATTTCAATAGATACAGAAAAATCATTTGATAAAATATAACATCCTCTCGTGATAAAAACTCTCAACAACTTGAGTACAGAAGGAATGTACTTCAACATAATAAAAGCCATATATGACAAGCCCACAGCTAACATCATACTCAAGAGTAAAAACTGAAGGCTTTTTCTCTAAGACCAGGAACAAGACAAGAGTGCCCACTTTTGCCAATTTTATTCAACATAGCACTGGAGGTCCTAGCTAGAGCAAACAATAAAAAAGAAATAAAAGGCATTCAAATTGGAAAGGAAGAAGTAAAATTGTTTCTGTTTATAGATGATATGATATTGTATATGGAAAACTCTGAAAAATCCACCAAAAACTGTTAGAACTAATAAACAAATTCAGTAAAGTTGCAGGATACAAAATTACATACAGAAATTAGTTGCATTTCTATGGACTGACAACAAAACATTTGAAAAGAATTAAGGAAAACAATTTCATTTACAATATCATAAAAAAAAATACTCAGGAATAAATTTATTCAAGGAAATGAAAGCTCTGTACCCTGAAAGCCATAAGACTTTGATGAGAGAAAATGAAGAAAACAAAAATAAATGGAAAGATATCCCATGTTCATGGATTGGATGAATGACTATTGTTAAAATTTCCTTACTACCCAAAGCCTTCTATAAATTCAATGCAACCCTATCAAAATTCCAATGGCATTTTTTTCAATAATGGAAAAAAATCCTAAAATGTGTATGGAACCACAAAAGACCCCCACTAGTGAAAACAATCCTGAGAAAGAAGAACAAAGCTAGAGACATTGCACTTCCTGATTTCAAGCTATACTGCAAGGCTATAGTAACCAAAACTGTATGGTACTGGCATAAAAATAGACACATATACCAATTGGACAGAAACAAGAGCCTAGAAAGAAATCCTTGCATATATGGTCCAAAAAATTGACATGGGAGCCAAGAATATTCAGTGAGGGAAGAATAGTCTCCCCAGTAAATGTATTGGGAAAACTGGATAATCACATGCAAAAGAATGAAATTAGATCCCTATCTTATATTGCGTACAAAAATTAACATCGAATGGATTAAAAACTTAAATGTAAGACCTAAAACCATAAAACTCCTGGAAGAAAACACAGGGGGAAATCTCCATGACGTTGGTTTTAGGAATGATTTTTTGGATATGACACCAAACATACAAGCAACAGAAGCAAAAATAAGTAAGTGCGACTACATCAAACTAAAAAGCTTCTATACAGCAAAAGAAATAATCAACAGGGGAGGGGAGTGGGGGGATGGGTTAGCCTGGTGATGGGTATTAAAGAGGACACATTCTGCGTGGAGCCTTGGGTGTTATGCGCAAACAATGAATCATGGAACACTACATCAAAACTAATGATGTAATGTATGGTGATTAACATAACAAAAAAATAAAAAAAATAAAAATAAAAAAATAAAAACAGACCAAAAAAAAGAAATAATCAACAAAATGAAAAGGCAACCTATGGAATGGGAGGGAATACTTGCAAATGGTATGTTAGATAAGGAATTAATGTTCAAAATAGGTAAGAATTCATTCAACTCAATAACAAAAAACAACAAATGCAATAAAAAATGGGCAGAGGAACTGAATGGATGTTTTCTCAAAGAAGTCATCCAAATCAATGAGTACATGAAAAGATGCTCAACATCAGTAATCAGGGAAATGCAAATCAAAACCACAATGTGATATTACCTTACACCTCACACTTATTAGAATGGCTATCATTAAAAAGACAAGAAGTGCTGGCGAGGATGTGGAGAAAATGGAACCCTTGTGCACTGATAGTGGGAATGTAAATTGATGCAGCCACAATGGAAAACAGCATAGAGGTTCCTCAAAATACTAAAAATAGCACTACCATGTGATCCAGCAATTCCACTACCAGGTATTTATCCAAAATAAATGAAATTAGGATCTTGAAAAGATGCACTCCCATGTTCTTCACAACATTACTCATAATAACCAAGATATGAAAGAAACATAAGTGTCTATCACTGGATAAGTGGATAAAGATTATATATAAATATATATATTATGTATATTTGTTTTTATATATTTATATATATAATGGAATATATATATATATAATGGAATATTATTCAGCTATAAGAAATCCTGCCATTTGTGACATATATGGACCTTGAGGACATTATGTTAAGTGAAATAAGTCAGACGGAGAAAGACAAATACTGTATGATCTCACTTATATGTGGAATCTAAAAAAGTCAAACTCATGGAAACAGAGTAGAATGTTAGTTGCCAGGGCTGGGAGTGGGGGAAATGGGAAGATGTTGGTCAATGGATACAGAATTCCAGGTATAAATCAGGAAGTTTTGGAAATCTAATGTACAGCATGGTACCTTTTAGCCTTTCTTTAGATAGAGGGGAAGTCAGGGAAACTGTATTTGTTGAGAACTTAGGGCAGTGTTTCCCACTTTTGACTGGGTGTTGTCTCTTTTGTGAATCACATGTAGGCAGGAGAGTTGCCCAGACAGTTGTGTTTTTAAAGATGTTCACCATCTTGGGAACCCCTGGCCTTTTATTGTAGGCATTGTACTACATACTTTCCATGTATTTTCATTCTGTATGCACAACAATCCTCATTTTAAAGATTAGGAAACAAAATTGAAATTGAGTATTTCTACAGCTATAAGTCATGAGACTGAATTTGAATCCAGCACTATTTGGCATTATGCATTGTATTTGTTTCTACTTCTCCATGCTGCTTCTTCAAGGTATTCTCTAAGTTTTTTTTTTTTTTAATTTTTAAAATTTTATTATGTTATGTTAATCACCATACTTTACCTCATTAGTTTTTGATGTAGTGTTCCATGATTCATTGTTTGCGTATAACACCCAGCGCTCCATTCAGTACATGCCCTCTTTAATACCCATCACCAGGCTAACCCATCCCCCCACCCCCTCCCCTTTAGAACCCTCAGTTTGTTTCTCAGAGTCCATAGTCTCTCATGGTTCATCTTCCCCTCCATTCCCCCCCTTCATTTTCCCCTTCATATTATTTTCTTTTTTTAAAAGACATATAATGTATTATTTGTTAGAGAGGTACAAGTCTGTGATTCAACAGTCATACACAATTCACAGCGCTCACCATAGCACATACCCTCCCCAATGTCTATCACCCAGCTACCCCATCCCTCCCACCTCCACCACTCCAGCAACCTTCAGTTTGTTTCCTGAGATTAAGAATTCCTCATATCAGTGAGATCATATGATACATGTCTTTCTCTGATTGACTTATTTCACTCAGCATAATACCCTACAGTTCCATCCATGTCATTGCAAATGGCAAGATTTCATTACTTTTGATGGCTGCATAATATTCCATTTTATATATACACCACATCTTCTTTATCCATTCATCTATCAATGGACATCATGGCTCTTTCCATAGTTTGGCTATTGTGGACATTGCTGCTATAAACATCAGGGTGTATGTACCCCTTTGGATCCCCACATTTGTATCTTTGGGGTAAATACCCAGTAGTGAAATTGCTGGGTCGTAGGGTAGCTCTATTTTTCAACTTTATGAGGAACCTCCATACTGTTCTCCACAGAGGCTGCACCAGCTTGCATTCCCACCAGCAGTATAGGAGGGTTCCCCTTTCTCCGCATCCTCGCCAACATCTGTCATTTCCTGACGTGTTAATTTTAGCCATTCTGACTGGTGTGAGGTGGTATCTCATT